TGAGGTGTGTTGGTCACAACAGGAGCAGGTGGAGCATCAGCAGCATCCACATCATGGATAATCTTTCTTTTTCTCTTCACTTGAAGACTCTCACGAGGAGATTCGTCTTCGTCATCAGAATCAAGAATAACTTGGGGAGAAGCCCTTTTTAATCTTCTTTGAGGGGTAGGTGGTTTTCGACTAGCCTGAAAACAATATGAAATGATGAGATTGATTAAGGAGATCGAGATAGTAAAAAAGCTGCGAAAGGCTACCTTTTGACCTTCGTCCTTGACTTCAGCTCTGGCTGTTGGGGCAGCATGTTTCGGAGCAACTGAAAAATAGATGATACTTAAAACAGTTAGAAACAATAAAGCTCAGAGAAGTAAGTCCAAATCAAAGGGGGATGAACCTTCAAGAATGTCGGATTCGATGCGAACATCTTCGATATTGACATGAAGGTGCCCTTTAAACGTATCGAGTGTATGTTTAGTCGGAACCACCCGCTGTGCCTTGGGCTTAGACTGCTGTCGAAGAATTTTTATAGCGTCTCCACAAATAAACCAGTCTGGAAATGGAGGGGCAAGAGCCACGCCAAAACCAGCGGTTGGTAGTCGAGGGACTTTTGGGGGAAAAAGTTTAAAGGCAACCTCATACCGTTTATCGCGAGGAACAGAAGAGGGAATCTTTAAATTATCCAGTTTTTTGGAAAAATTTTCTTTCAAAGTGATAGCAGCCTCGCGGATGGTTCGACTAACATCATCTGGTCGATAGGCAGTTTCGAAATACTTCTGGAAGACTTGGATCTCTTTGATATGAGTAGACGTACCTTTCTTGGTTTTCTCCTACACATCAATGAAAGCTTGGTCAATCAAGCGAGTAAAACTAGAAGCGTCAAGAAATTCTGAGGCGTAATGTTTCGACCACCAGTCATAAAAGTTTTGAGAGCAAAAGTAAGAAGGTTCAAAGTGAACGGGTGTGAGGTAGGACTTGTGAGCATGGCATGCCAGTTGCATTGAACAATCCAGAGGAGATAGCACAGCAAAAGGAAGGATGATATGGGACTTCTTGTCATACAAGCATTTGGACAAGGTTTGAATTAACCCGAATTGCCTGGACACCAAGTTCGGTTGATAGGCTAGCAAGCTGGAGTGACCCTTTACCAGGTTTAGTTTGTGAATCAGTAGGCGGGGAATGAGGAATCTCTCCCATATCAGCTTTGACTCATCATCGTGTTTCTTCAAGGGAGCAGGGAAGGGTCTAGTAAACCATTCTAGCCCACATTTTCGTTCTGCGAAGGGGGCCATGTTCGCGGTAAACTCATGCTGTTTTGCAAACATATGAACAAAGCTGGATAAATTAGACCGGAGGGAATGACCTTCCTTGCTGGGATTAAGTTGAGCCAGGCGAGGCCATTCGACACTTCTTTCAGCAACTGCAGGCGAACGTTCATCAACTTCACCTTTGTTGGGAAGACTGTGCTCAAAAGTGGCGTTAAGCCACAGCTGAAGAAGCCAGAAGGGGCCCGACAACAGCAAGTTGCCATGGCTGTCAGGATCTTTCAATTTACCCGCACCTTCGCCTAAAGCTTCATAGAGACTAGCCAGGATCATTTCACTGAGGCAAACACCTCTCTTCACATGGAGCTGGTTGGCTAGGACCAGATACTTCCGCGCCACATGCAAGGATTTGGTACAAAATACACAACGGGACAACCACATGACCAAAAAGGCTATATGTTCTTCGTCATCAACAGAGGTACTAGTTTTATTATGGTAGTGTTGGACAAAAGCTGTATAAGTATGTTTAGTATTGGCAAAACCAATGCTGTCATGACTATCAATCTCGGGATCATAAACTAAGCCGTAGGGTTTTAGGCCTACAATGGCAGCCACATCAAGTAGAGTGGGGGTCATCATTCCACAAGGAAGATGGAAGATGTTGTGAGTTCTGTCCCAGAAGAATAAGAAGGAAGCCAGCATGAGAGGGCAGTACGAAGGGCCTACCTTCGACATCATAATCAGATCGTAAATCCCAGTGTCCTTCCATTCCTGGGCTTTTACCTTCTCTATTTTCGTCAGCCAGTTGAGATAGAGTTCAGAATCTTTGAAGTAGGGAGTGGCCCTAAATAATCTGGCCCCATCACGAAGATACTTAAAATCTATGTCGAAAAGGCTCAGGCTATCAGGACTGTCAGTGGGAATTTTATTAAAGTCCTTTTGCCCTAGGGGTTTAGTGGTTCTATAAGAGGGGAAGAAATCTTTAATGGCGGAGTAGTCGAGACCTGGAGGGGGTAAAGGCCCGAACATGGCTAAAGGTCTCCCTGCAACAGTAACAAGAATGATTACCTGAGATTCGTAAATGTGGCGTTTCTCCTCCGTCAGGGGTTCGCGAATGAACTGTTGATTCTTTACAACCTGGGGGCCGCTCAAGCTGGCAAATGGAGGAAGTGTTGATGTAGAAGTTTGTCCTTTGGGTTGCGTTTTCTTCTTCTGATGATCAGCCATTGTTAAAGGAAGTAAGAGTTTGTTGGTTGGAAGTAGAAAATTAGAGAAAAAGCAAGGAAAGTCGTGAAGAATTAGAGAAGTTGTAAAAAGTGAAAACACCAAAGGGAAATTACTTATATAGTGAGTGGAAGACTGAAAGTTTCCATCATTAAGGGGCTAGAGTGAGTGGGCCACGTGTATGCTTGGATATGGGATGGCAGAGGTAGTAGTTACAATTCACGTCCCCGAGGGTGGTAGGGTGATGATGGGCCACGATTTTGTTGAGTCCCGAGGAAATAGCCATGATGATAGTGACGTCATAAAACGTGCATCAAGGTGGTGGAACAGTAGCTTGCGTGTTCATAGCTATCTCTCTTTTTCTCTTTCATCCCCTTTCAACTTCTCAGACTGGCATTGGTGGAAAGGAGTATCAGGCGACACTCATGAGGACAAAGAGGCGTCGAAAGCCAGACGTTGTAAAAAAATGTGCTTTTCCACAGTCGAAGTTGAAAAGACATTTTTTGGGGGCAATTTGTTAGCTCCTAAATTCGATGCCTCAGTTAGAAAGAAGCCATTTAAGACAAAAAGGGTAATAGATAGTTTAAGACCCAAAGAATGGTCGAAAGAAGTGAAATAGCTAAGTCTAAGAACTCACCCAGAAGTTAAGAGTTCGACCGCCTGCTGAGACGAATAGTTTGTCGAAGCATTTGAAATTTGAATATTGGAGGGAACGGTTTGCTTGTGGAAAATTGAGGGAGACACGTGTCACCTTATGAGTAATAGATCCATGCATTTGAGACAAGTGGCGGAAGGAGATTACGGGTGGAGGTTATGAGAGGTTATTTTTTTATTACTATAAATAGGGTGTCTTAGGCATGTTCAAAGGGTGTTGTAATTTACTATTGTACAAATTACTCTTGAAACTACTCCAAGTATCCGAGTGTAGAGAAAGCGAGTATTGTAAGAGAATGTACGTGATGTAAACACACCATCTTTTAACTTAATGCAATTTACTTGTTTTTACTTTAAGTTTTACAAAGCCTTTCATTATCTTTATTGTCTTTATCCTTCTTTCCTCCTTACCTTATTTCTTCTCTTCCTATGCAATTCTTTTCTCTTCGTCCTCAATCTAACTTCACCTTTGCCAACAAACTTTCTTCTCTTTTATTAGAAGCCTCACTTTACCTTTACTTTAACCCGTAGTCGAATAGATGTTCCTTTAGGATTCTTTTATCCCAATACTGTTCGAGTGTGGAACTTGAACAAATTCTTAAAACCAAAAATAAATCCTTTAGCACATGTCCTAGGATCAATTTGATCGATCCTGTGAGTCACCAAAGTTAGATTTGGAAGATCAGCGGTTGTTTTCCGATTTTCAAGGGAAACACTTACGTGGTGTAGTGAAGACCAGTGCGTGGTTTTCGCTCTAGATCAACTGCCTCGTGACCTTTGGAAGGTGGGCTGACCATCTTTTTCGAAAGTGGATAGTTGTTTGATGACGTGTTCCTGCGTGGGGGACACGTGGAGAAGGTAGGGGAAGCGCGTGGGCCTCCCCGTCAAGAGAGTCTTCTGCCCAACGAAGTTACCTTGTTGAGGCTCTTGCTCGATATAGGAAATTGGGCCTTGATGGACCTCATCAGTATAACCTTGGGTTGGCCCTTCCCGGGCTAACGGGGAGGTCCTGCCCCATTCCAGAATATAGACCAATTTGAACTAACGGGTATAGTTAAGGGAGAAAAATGATATTTTGCCTATAAAAAGAAAATGAAAAATGAAAAATAGTATAAAACAATCATTAATTATCTATATAAAACAAATTTTATTTTATTACCAAAAAAATATAAATTTTATCATAATTTATATTTTTTATAATATAAAAAAGATGTAAATTTAAAATCGAATTTTCTCTCAATTATTATTATATTATATATATAAAGGAGGTATGTATTTTTTAACGTAAATCTTTCCATTTAAATTTTTCACTCTTTCTGAATTAATTTATTTATAATTTTAATTGAAGATTATCCATCGAACATTTAAATTTGTTTTAAAATTTTTTATTTATATTTATATTAATAAGGTAATAATAAGTAATTTTATATTATACAGCTATTAAATTATTATTTTGATTTATGTTATAAATTAAATACTTTTCTAAATTAAATATTTTTTATAGTAATTTTTAAAGTTTTTTTATATTTTTATAACATTAGTTTTCATTGTCTATAAATATCTTTTTTCTTTTGACTGAATAAAAGTATTATTAATAAATCTAATAAAATAAATCATATTTATTTCCAAAACTGAATAAAAATATTATTAATAAATCTAATAAAATAAATCATATTTATTTCCAAAACTGTTAAACTTATCCTGTTTTAATATTTTCATGATATATATGATATAAAAAACGGTTAAAATAGGAAAAGTATGGAAACCTAAGCAGCCGCTATATAACTCATTGAAATCAATTCAAGAAAAGACCACACGAGTTCCCAAAATACTAAATCTTCTCAGTTTTTTGTGACAGCATCGATGGCTCGAGTGAAAGGCGCACCATGCGTAGATCGAAGCCCGGTTTCGGGACCGAATCCTCCTGCGGCACCGGAAATCCGTTACCGCGGCGTTCGAAAGCGGCAATGCGGCCAATACGCAGCGGAGATAAGAGATCCGTTGAAGAAAGCTCGTGTCTGGTTAGGCACTTTTGATTCGGCAATTCAAGCGGCCCTTGCTTACGATGGGGCTGCAATATCCTTACGCGGCGCCAAAGCCAAGACCAATTTCCCTCATGAGGCTCTTGCTGCTTTGCTTCCTCCTCCTCCTCCACCTCTGAAAGACGACACGGTTTTCGTTAATTATCCTACTTCAAGCGGTATGAGTAGTACCGTTAAATCGTTCAGTGGACCTAGGGTTGGTTCTTCAACCTCTAGGGTTCATATGTTTCTTCCTGTTAATGATGAGGGTTGTCACAGTGATTGTGATTCTTCTTCATCTGTGGTTGATGATGATGAAGATTGTGTCGTCGTTTGTTCATCGGTTCGCAAGCCTCAGCCTCGAAATATTGATCTCAATTTGCCTGCTCCGATGAACTACAATGATGAAGAGATCTGCGCCATCGACCTAAATCTCTGACTTGCTTCCGTCCGCCGCCGATTCTGCTGTAACTTATGTAAATTAATGTTCGAGAGAGTTTAGTTCATTGTTTTGAATATATAGAGTGATGTTAATTTAAATCAAAATTAGAACAAATATAAAAAACAATTTATAATGGATCGACAGTCATCTATAGATTTTTTTTAAATAACTATTTTTTTTTTATAAATTAAATACTAAAATAACCAATATTTTAGATCCATTACAAAATTAATCATGTTTTGGAAGTAAAGGAGAGTAGTTATTGTGGTTGGCACATGCATAGTATATTAACACATAAGAGTTATTAGTAATGATTCAGGCTTGTATGTGCTATAACTTGTATTGGCACATACATTCATGCATTAAGTGACTTGTCATCTACAATGGTGCATCATTTAGTTATTTATTTTTAAAATCTTAATATTTAGTCAATTGAATTGAAAATCTGCCCGATCGAAAAAGGTGGTTGGTGTGAGGGTCCTGACGTATTTTGTGACAATCGATTGTCACTGTAGTTTTTTCTAAAAGTTATAGTTTTCATCATAGGTTTTTCACCCCTAAAGTTTCATACATGTCTCCGAATAATTTTTCGCAAAATCCATTATTTCAAAAACGAAATGATAGTGATTCATGTTAAATAACACTTATTTCATCACAATCCATAACAATTTCATCAATAATTATTAACAACAAATTCATCATTAGTCACAAATAAACTCAAGCTTTCACATCCTCATCAATGCCAGAATCTCATACATACATATTCATAATCATTCAAACATGGATTCAATCATAACAACGCATATAAACACAAGATCAATCAACTAATTTCCATAATTTCATCATATAACAAATCATCAAAAGAAAATATAGAACCCTAATGAGATTAAGGACTTCTCATCCTTACCCCCATCATGCAATACACCTAAATCGGTAGCCATTTCTCCCCCATTACCTTAGATTTTCCAGCAAGAAGATGAATCAAGCAACTTCTATGGCTTCTCTATTCAAAGCCCCAGATTTTGCTTTTCTCCATTCCAAAGCTCTTTCTCTCCTTTTGCCTATTTTCTCAAATTACACGTACCGATAAAAACTAGGCTAATTTTCTCTTACTTCAAATATATCTTTAGCGTTCTCTACATAATTCTTTTCAATTGTCTCATTACCCCTCAATTTTCTTAATAAACATTATTTCCCCAACTCCCTAACTCCTTGCTACCCTCTATTTCTCCAAATTCTTCATGACATAATTCTATCATTTTACTATTTTATTTAATTAATCCAAATAATATACTATATATTCTAATGATTAATTAAAATTGTAATTAATTCTAAACAACTATATCAAACACTTACTCTCTCTATACCTCTAGCTCAAAGATACTTAACCACAAAAACACACAACAAATAATTAAAACACCAATTAATCAAATAAAATTCTAAATAATTCAATTAAATTAATTAATCGAATTTAGGGTGTTACACCACCAGTATACGCATTTTGGGCATGTTGGAACTGTATTAATTAGAGTGGGAATTGGAAAGATTTATTGACAATTAATGGGCAATAAATCAACACAAGTAAGAAGTAATATATAAGTGAATTTGAAAAGATTCATTTTAGTCCCACATTGAAGGAATGAAAATTAAGATTCATTTTAGTCCAACATTGAAGGGAATGGAAATTAAGATTCATTTTAGTCCCACATTGAAGGGAATGGAAATTAAGCCTTACTAGCTGCCTATAAATAAAGGGTAGAAATTCAGTAGTAAGTACTCCGGATTTCACAAATTCATGAATTTTGATTTCCCTCTTCTCTTCCTTAATTCTCTTCATCTATAATTTTTTCTTTTCTTGACTGGTTATTTTCACCAGATACTATAACTTAGAAAGGTGTAATTCTAGAGCGATTTATCAGTGTGCAACTGATAATCGTAAGTTTTGAACGGGCTGTTTTATCCTGGAGGCGTCGTCGTAAATCGACTGCTTTGCATATTTTGGCAGTACGGCGAAACGTCTTAAAGAAAGCGACCTAGTACGCGACTCGTCCCGATAATTTCCTTGTGCCAAACTCAAAATTTCAAATCCCTGAGGAAATTATCGGTACTACTGCGGCCGCTTCGGGCTCTGACAAACCTTTCAGGTTTGAGGGTTCCAATTTCAAACGTTGGCAAGCTAAGATGAAAATTTTCTTAACTCTGAAAAAGGTTGCCCACGTTCTGACTGAGGATATCCCGGTTGTCCCTTCTGCATCATCTGAACTACCTAACGGTAACTCACTTGCAGATTCAGACGGGACTTCCAAAATGTCTGACTCAGATGCTGCAAAAGCTAAGGCTGCAGCAGATGATCTGCAGCTCCGAAAAGAAATCGCCTTATGGCACGAGAATGATTATCCGTGCAAAAATCACATTCTGAACAGCCTTGCTGATGATCTGTACGACTACTACAGTAGCTACAGGACTGCTAAACAGGTTTGGGAGGCTCTGCAAAGAAAATACGATACTGAAGAAGCAGGTGCGAAGAAATTTGCTGTCAGCCGCTACTTGAACTACAAGATGGTGGATGAGAAGTCGGGGGAAGCTCAAAGCCACGAAATTCAGAAGATTGCTCATGAGATCATTACAGAAGGTATGCCCCTTAATGAACAATTTCAAATTGCTGTAATTATTGACAAACTGCCCCCTGGTTGGAAAGATTTCAAAAATGTGCTTTGACACAAAACAAAAGAATTTTCAATCGAGAGTCTGATAACTCGCCTCCGAATTGAAGAGGAGGCTCGGAAACAAGATCAGAAAGAAGAAGTCTTAGTTGTGTCTAACAACAAAAAGAAATTCGGTGCGGTTCTGAAGCCTACGGGCAAACCTTTAAAGAATCAGAACCGCAATGCTATGAACCAAACTAAGAATGGGAATCCCTCTAGGGCCCCATCGGCTCCATTTGCTAAGCAACAACCACCACCTTAAAGAAATGATGCTCCGGTTTTTTCTTTCTACAACTGTGGGAAACCGGGCCATATGACAAAGAAATGTAGGAGCAGGCCTAAACCTGCAGCTGGCTCAAATGCTCAGGTCAACCTGACTGATGAGCAACTCATTGCCATGATCACTGAAATCAACATGGTTGGTGGAAGTGATGGTTGGTGGATAGACACTGGCGCCACTCGTCATGTCTGTTATGATCGTGCTATGTTCAAGACATACATGAATACTGAAGATAAGAAAGTGTTGTTGGGAGATGCTCACACCACTAATGTTGCTGGAATTGGAGATGTTGAGCTGAAGTTCACTTCAGGAAAGACCTTGATCTTGAAGGACGTCATGCATGTTCCTGAAATTAGGAAGAATCTTGTTTCTGGTTTTCTTTTGAATAAGGCTGGGTTTGGTCAAACTTTAGGGGCAGATTTGTACACCATCACTAAGAATGGTATTTTTGTTGGGAAAGGGTACGCCACTGATGGCATGTTTAAGTTGAATGTTGATTTGAATAAAATTTCTCCTTCTGTTTACTCTGTGTGTGACTTTAATATTTGGCATGGTAGACTTTGTCACGTTAATAAACGAATCCTTTCTAATGCAAGCAACATAGGCCTAATCCCTAAACTAAATGTTAATGATTCCAATAAATGTGAATTTTGCAGTCAAGCTAAAATAACAAAAACTTCACATAAATCAATTATAAAAGAATCTGACCCCCTAGATCTTATACACTCTGATATATGTGAATTAGATGGAAGTTTAACTAGAAATAATAAACGTTATTTTATCACTTTTATTGACGATTGCTCTGATTATACTTATGTATATCTAATGAAGAATAAAAGTGAAGCGCTTGACATGTTTAAGGTGTATGTAACTGAAATTGAGAATCAATTTAACAAGAAGATTAAGAGACTTCGCAGTGATAGGGGAGTCGAATATGACTCTAGCTTGTTTAATGATTTTTATGCTGAACATGGTATTATACATGAAACGACTGCTCCATACTCTCCTGAAATGAATGGTAAAGCAGAAAGAAAGAATAGAACTCTTACTGAACTTGTAGTTGCAATCATGTTAAATTCTGGTGCTGCACCTCACTGGTGGGGGGAAATTTTATTGACTGTTTGCTATGTCCTGAATAAAGTTCCCAAGTCAAAAAGTAAGATCTCACCTCATGAGATATTAAAGAAAAGACAACCAAATTTGTCTTATTTAAGAACTTGGGGCTGTCTGGCTTATGTCAGAATTCCGGATCCGAAACGAGTTAAACTCGCTAGTTGAGCCTATGAATGCTCATTCATTGGGTATGCAGCAAACAGTAAGGCATACAGGTTTTATGACCTAAATGCCAGAGTAATTATAGAATCAAACGATGTTGAATTCTTTGAAGACAAATTTCCTTTCAAATTGAGAAATAGTGGGGGCACACAATCGAGTCACATTCCTGTGATAAAAAGCACTGAAAGCAGCGACAATGTAGAAACAGAACTTCGAAAAAGTAAAAGAGTAAGAGTTGCTAAAGACTATGGGCCTGATTATGCGGCCTATAATATAGAAGAAGATCCAATAAATCTTCAAGAAGCATTGTCATCTATGGATGCCGACTTATGGCAAGAAGCCATTAATGATGAGATAGATTCTCTAGAATCTAACAAGACCTGGCACTTAGTAGACTTACCCCCGGGTTGCAAACCAATTGGTTGTAAATGGGTTTTGAAAAAGAAACTAAAACCTGATGGAACGATTGAGAAATACAAGGCTCGCCTTGTAGCCAAGGGTTTTAGACAAAGAGAAAATATAGATTTCTTCGACACCTTTTCTCCGGTCACTAGAATTACATCCATTAGGGTACTCATTTCAATAGCAACCATTTGTAACTTAATAGTACACCAAATGGATGTTAAAACAACTTTTTTAAACGGTGACTTAGAAGAAGAAATCTATATGGAACAACCAGAAGGGTTTGTGATCCAAGGACAAGAAAGCAAGGTCTGTAAGTTAGATAAGTCTCTGTA